TTAAATACTAGGGCTTTATTTTGTTGGGTATTTTTTAAATGGAGGGGAGGTCTGAATCCAAGATCCATGCTCAGAATGACTTTGTCCTAACATTCTGAATGTCGGGATAATTGGCACATTGCTAAATAGAAGCAGAGTCAGACAAGAAGCTGATTTGTTATCCATCTCAAAGGAGCCAGCTTTGCCCCTTTGCTAATGGCCTGCAAGTCTGAACAAGGTACCTGTAAGGCAGAGGCTTGGAATGGGCTTTGGAGCCAAGATTGGAGGCGAGAGTGACTTGCACTTGAGAGATTGCCAGAGATAAGTCTTTTTCTCTCTTCCTTTTAAAATTACAGTGTGCAAGAGGGGAGAGTTGGCTATGGACATCCAGCCAACTGGATTAGCAGTAGCTGCAGGTGTTAACTAATACATGTCTCTAATGCATACTGTAAGACAAATATAAGCAGGTTATGAAAAATCAATCTCAGTGATTTGGGAGAGCAGTGATACGGTTTTAATACAGATCCATTTGGGAGGATCCTGACAGTGCAATGTGAAGTGTGGCTGCAATGCACATGGGCTTTTGTGTTGGTAATTCCAGTACCTTTAGTAGTAGTTCAGTCTGGAGAAGAGAAGGCTCAGGGGGGACCTTATCTCTAAAAAGCCTCAGAAGAGAAGGCTCAGGGGGGACCTTATCTCTAAAACTACCTGAAAGGAGGTTGAAGTGAGGTGGGTGCTGGTCTCTTCTCCCAAGTAACAAGCGATAGGACAACAGGTAACAGCCTCAAGCTGCACCGGGGGAGGTTCAGACTGGAGATTAGGGGCAGTTTCTCCACCAAGAGGGTGCTCAGGCAGTAGAACAGGCTGCCCAGGGCAGTGGTGGAGTCACTGTCCCTGGAAGTGTTCAAAAATCATGTAGACGATGCTCTCAGTGACATGGTTTCATGGTGGCCTTGGCAGTGCTGGGGAACAGTTGGACTTGATGATTTTAAAGGTCTTTTCCAACCTGGTTGATTCTATGATTCTATGAAACTACTACTTCTCTTTGTTAAAAGTGGGAGTGAAGAGTGCATTGAGGAGGAATATCAGTCTCTTTGAGAATGAATACTTCACAATGACCACTGCTCCACTGGTGCCTATTTCCCCCAGCCGATGGGAAGAAGCCTGTTAAAGCTGTGCATTGGAGGGTCAGGAGTGCCTGGACTGTCATGTGTGAGCACCAGAGGTTAACACTAAAGTAATTTGTGGAGCTGTTTAATTGCGACCCTAAAGGAAGCTCCAACAGTGGTGCTTGGCAGAGGTGAGGCACATAGGGATATGCTGTGGTGCTGGAGGTTTTGTTTACAAAAGGAGTTCATTGCCTGTTTTGTATCCCTGCCTCTCATTGTCCTTGTTTGTGAAAGCATGACTCCTAGATTAGCAGAGGGGTAGGACCTTGCTTTTCTAAAGTTACTAAACAAGCACCATGGGTTCAGTTTTTAGATTAATCTGTTTTCTCTGTAAAAAGTGGTTCCTGGAGGAGATTTGATTTCAAGCTGTCTGCGATCCATTCTTCCTTGGGCTCGTATGCATCAGAAAACTAGATCTGTTACCCAGAAGCTTGTTTGCAGGGCTGCAGGGTGCAGTTTTCTCGTGGAAGGACATGTTAGCAGGAATCATTGGTATGAATGTGGTAACTTTGTGTTGCTCTGTCAAACTTACACTGCTCTAACATAAGCATTAGCAGCCCACAGGGCATCTCCTGCAGCACAGATACCCTTTAGTGGTACAGGATTTCCCTTCCTCAGAAAAGCTCTTCATCATCATCTTCAGGTAAATTTCATAGTTCTTGTTCAATTTACACACTATACACAGAATTTGGACAACATGATTGATAAACCTAATCTCATTTTGGTGCTTTCTCATCAGTCTGATTTTTCTGTTTATTCATACTTGAATTGAAAGCTGCGTTGACTGTGTCTTTCTTCTGTGTGGGTACAACCTCTAGCACAGCAGGGTTCAAGTCTGGGTCTAGTGCTTCTAGATGCTACAGTAATGCAAATAAATTAACTGCCAGTGAAACCCTGGCCTAGTGCCTCTAGACACCTATAGTGGGAGTGCTGATTTGCCTTTTAACTTTATCAGCCTCTTTAAGACTTGGAAGTGTGCCTTGCTGTAGAGGAAATGTCCATACTGTGAAGGCAGTGATGCCAAATCATTTCCCCAAACGACTTCCCCTCTGGGTGGTAAAGTGCATTTTTCTGTTTTATTTTCATTCCATCATATTCGCTATCTCAAGAGAAAGATTTTACTTTTTTTTTCTCCCCCTCTCATCTACATTTCTGTATAGTTTAACTAAAGAGAAGGTAACTTCATGCAGTGTGGAAATGTTTCCTTCTCCCCATTAGTGATTAATACCAATGAAGTTGAAGACAAAACTCAGAGGATAAATGACAGATACCAACCAGTGAGATTTCCTGAAAGAGGTTTAAAGGCTAATGATCCTTGAAATGTATAAAAATAAATTGCTTCATTAAAAACTATTTTACAAAATAATTTCTTCCTAGCAGCATATTTTCTGCAAAACAGTTCCCCTGTGTAACTACACCTGGGTAGTAAAATTTGATTCAGTGCTGCTCATATGGGGCCGCAGTCAAATGTCCTGATCATGCCTGTGTCCCTGTGCCTCATCAGGAGAGGAGGTTTGGGGCTTAAAATTAGAGACATGTTCAAGGCAAGTCTGTTGAAGTTTACTTTTTGCCCAGAGGAGAAAGTGCCCTTCTTTCTGGGACAGCAACAAGCATGTTTAAACATGAGTGACAGAGTTTTTCTTTAGATGGGCACAATGCTTGTGAGTCACACACATGGCTGAAACCACAGCCATTCTGCTCTAATTAAAGAGAACTACACCAAGAATGCGTAATAATTAGGTTAGTGTGTAATACACCATCCATGTCAACAGCATCTGCCACAAAGGTTGATTGAAATGTACTCATCCTCCAAACATTGTGCTCCCTGTTAGAGCTCCTCAACTAATTCATTACCATCCTGTCATACAATAACATGACTCCACAGAAATCTGCAGAAAATTAGAGCAAAGACTACGTATAGATCTGCCCTGGTTTAGCATGTAACTTCAGTGAAGGAAAACCACCCACATAAACATAAAGATGAGAGATCTCCGTCCTAATGAAGATGAATTACCAAAAAAAAAGGGCTGTGTGGGAATACTCTATTTTTTCCAAGTTGTCTGTTGTTGTTTAGTTTGAACAGACACGATGCTTTTGAGCTGTGAGTGTTTATCAAATTAGCCACAGATTAGTTTTTGCTTGTGTTTTTGAAGTATTTAATGAATAAGGAAATGTTCTGCTGGCGACCTTGTTTGCATCAGTGTGTTTCTGTGCTTTTGCTGTGGGTTTAGGAACAAAGTTAGTTGTTCGGGGGCAGGAGGGATGGTTGACTTTATGCTCAAGACACATGGAACAGTTACTGAGATTCATTTAATACTGCAGTGCATGAGGCTGGGTACAGCAGGTCACTTGGTGGTGTTTCAGAGTAACAGATTCGTGTAGGCTGTGTCCAGTGCCCAGTGGGCAGCTTTGAAACAGTGAGCCAAGAGCTGTAGGAGCCCTGCAGCCACCATCCCCATCCAGGCGGCAGCTTGGAGGACCAAGTAGATCTGCTGTGCACATGTAGTCAGCTGTTAAAGTAGCCTTCCAAGCCAAAGGATGAGAAAGTAGCCCAGCCAAAAGTCGTTTTTGCCATGTAGGATTGTCTGTGGGTGGCTTCTTCAGCTAAGCAGAGTCAGCCCTGTCAGCCTGACACAATTTAAGTTTGCAGTTACTGAGTTGGTGGGGAAATGAAGTGGCAGCCGTCTCACAGGTGGTTTTGTCTCAGATGGGTAACAACAGGCAGGGAAAAACACTAATTTTCTAAACCAAATCAACTAAACACACTAAAGTAGAGCTGCAGGTAGTGTAGTTCTTCTCCAGAGGAATTTAATTAAGGTTTTGCCACTGATGTTGGTAGGAGCAGGATCTGGATGTGAGAAAGTTCACACATGCTTAAGAACATGTAGAAGCCGTTTTAGAGCTGCTGGCATGTGTGTTTTCACATTCTCTTCATCGTTAAAAAAGTGTTTTAAAAGTGCTGCAGGCAGCCAGAGCTTCTGCATCATGTCCTTCCCTTTTGGGAAGCAGTTTGGGACCCTCTCAGGGAAGGGCCAAGTGAGACCCACACTTGGGTAGGTGAGGAGCTGCTGGCACAAGGAAATGGCAGAATGAGCAAACCTTCACAGTCAGCCAGCCCATGCAGACCGGAGCGGCGCATGCAGCAGTGTGGCTGCTCTTGTATCTCCTGTCTGGGGGCATGCCTGTTGCTGAAGACAGTAGATGCTGTTATCGTGCTGGACTCTGATGTGGGAACAACACATCTGCCTTTCTGTCTGGTTCTGTGCTGATCATCTAAGTTATGGTAGTAAAGACCTAAGCCAAATGTGCTGAGACACATGGATTGCACCCTCTATAGAAAGAGACTGCATTTATGGATTCTGTTTTCAGATTTTGCTCACCAGATTGCTGTTTGACATTAAAAGAGAATAATGCTGACCTTCTAGGGCTGGTTTAAAGGACAAAGTCAAGAAAGGATCACCCTCTGTGTACTCTGTTGCTTGTAACGCTCTCCTAGCCATTCCCTAATGACACTATTGGAAATCAATTCTTGGTCTAAACTACTGAAGCAATTCTTATATAGTGTCAGGTGTTCAAAGGTTCTTGTTATATCATCTGAAGCATGTGGGCTATTACTGATCAAGGCAAGCCATAGACATCTTTCAAAGAACAGAATTTAATTATCTATGAAAGCAGAAGAAAGGATAGGAAAACCATTTTAAGATACACTTGGGAAATAAAATCACTTTAATGAGCCTATCTTCAGAAACAGGACTGTGTAGATCCTATGTTTGCTCTAATCTCCTACCTCCCCCTCCCAGAAAAAAAGATCAAAGTGAATGGATAAAAACCTGGTTGTATTTCCCCTCACAGGACACTACAACGTCTGTGCGGATAGGTCTTATGATGGAAGAAATGATCTTCAACCTTGCAGATACACATCTGTTCTTTAATGACCTGGAGGTATGTAGCTGCTTATTTTATTTAACATCTCTCTCTCTAATCATTTGCATCTGGTCTACAAACTTGTTTTTCTGGCCAAGAAACTTTCATTTTTGACCCCAAAGAAATGGGCCTTAGATGTCTTATTGGAAGCATACTTCACTGTGTCCCTTTGACATCTTCATTCTGTTAAGGAATTTTTTTTCTAAATACACAGTAACAATGATGGCTTTTGGCAGTTTTACTAAATCTAATAATGAGGACATTGCTGCTGCTTCTCCTGAAATTTGCTATTTAATAATTTTATTAAGCTAAATTAGCAAAGATCCTATGGGGCAGGTAGCAATTAGTTGTGAGCCACTGCAGAGGATTTAAAAATGGTCTCTGTTCTTGAGGATATTCTGCTTCCACACACAGAGCAGGAGGTCTGCTCAAGCTGAGGCACACTGCAGGATGGAAACTATGGGAGTTTCAACATTAAAGACCAACAGGAAGAATCCTTCCTGTTTGTGGCTTGGTTAGGTCTGACTGTGCCTTATACAAAGCAGAAATCCATTTGAATACAGTAAAATTCAAGCAAAGCGGTGCTAGCAGATGATGATAAAAAAAAAAATCTAACATCCCTGGGTAGACTTTTACAGTCTTTTTTTCACTTGAAAAAGGAGGAATTTTTTTCTGTGCTGGATGAAATGAGATAACTTTTTGTGTGCCTGATGAGTTCAGTGTGAACTTCTAGTTCCTTCACTGCTTAATTGCACTGTGGTCCTTAGCATTACAGGAGGTACAACCTTTCCTGCCACCTGTCTCCTTACAATCTGAGGTTTCACTTGCTGAGAATTTTCATTTCCTTTTGAAGACAAGCAGTGGCCAACACCTGAACTGACAGATATTTCCTCTTTCAGCTCTTTTCAAAGAGGGAGTTGGTGATGAGGTTATGAGAAGTACAAACTGAAAAAGTCCTCCTTCGGGAGGGGGAAGGGGAAGCTGCTGTTTGGAAGTGCAGGGTACTATATAAAGAGTGATAATATTTAATATGCAGCCAGCACTTTCCACTCATCAAATCTTAGCTCCATGTACTGCACAAAGTCACCCTCTGGAAAACCTCTCCCTATCTAGACTCTTGCAAAAATATAAGCTGGCAAATCATTTTAAAATAAGTTTTTTCCTTGCTTTACTTACTGCTCTAAAACATGAAGTGAAGTACGATTAAGAGGGACGACACAGGAGGGCATACAAAGATGATAACTAAAACCATTTGTGTAAGTAGTGCTATTTTGTGACTGCTTGAAAAAATAGAAGCAAATTTCAGTGGAAGAAATTGCAGCAATAGTCATCTGTCTCTGTTCATTAACCACCCTACTCCTTCATTTAGGATGATAAATAAAAGAAAAGTCAGAAAGTCATCTTAAGGATCATACATCACCAAGCGCAAGGTTTGGACCAAAACAAAAAAAGATGAATTATGTTCTTAGAACAGAAAGAAGAAATTGGTAAAAAACAAGCACAGAAGCTGATTCGGTTCTAGACCCACGAACATTACCATATACATTAGCACCATCATGTGGTATAACACTGGTCTGTACAGGACAAAATAAGCTAAAAACACTCAAACCCTTTTCGGAGCATCTTCTGTGTTGGGGCGGCGTGAGAGAAGCAGCAGGGTAGCTGCCCAGCTGTCTGGATGATGGGGCACACTAGAGATGTGCTGCCCCAAGACAAAGGATCAAGGCACCAAACCTTGACAAGGGCAGGCTGTGCGTTGCACTTCCAGAGCATGCAGTGACACAAGCATTGCTCTGTTCAGGAGGTTATTTGCAACATAACCCAGGCAAGCAAGGCCTCTGTTTTCTGAGCCCCATGTTGAAATCATACAAGCGTGTGTTTGCCACACTAATTTGTCCTCTCATACGGCATATAAGCATAAGTATAGGCCACACAAGAGGTTGTGTACTTGTGTGCAGTGATCACACTGCAGCATATATCAGGAAATATTCAGTTGAAAGGAAGTATTCTCACTTTCTGCTCCCCTTTTGGGACACTGGGGAGAAAAGAAGTTGCTCAAGGTTACAGATCACAGTGAAGTTAAAATACAAACTCTGAGCTTTCCAGGGTTGAGCTTTTTCTCCCAGATGCCTTTTGTTCACAGTGCAATGCTGGCTAAAGAATAATACCTTCTACCTCCAGTCCCTCTGGAGATATTGTTGTCTAGCACTCTGGAAAACAGGTATTAAGGACAGGAGGACTGACAAGGGGGTGAGGAATTAACAAACAAGGGGATTAGTGTGTTTACAAGTTACTGCCTTTCAGAGCCATCCCTGGAGGGTTTGTGTTCTGGGAACTGTTAACTCCCCACCTAATGAGGGATGCAAGCTTGGCTGATAAACGAATCCATAAGATGTTTAAAAATCTCTCACACAGTCCTGATATGCAAACAGTGACAAGCTGTGCATTCATCAGTTGTTTTCATATGTGCACAAGACATACCTCAACGGCATTCAGAACGAGCATAAGCGATAACAGAAGGCGCTTCTCTACACATCCTCAGGAACAGCTTGTGTTTCACAAGGAGGCAGCAGAGGCTTTCTCCAAGCCTGCAGTACTATTTCAAGTCTGCATTAGCTCAGGCTCCTTCACATGTGGGTGCAGGGGTCTGGTCCCACGTGGAGGCAGGTTGCTTGGCACAGACTGACCTAGAGATACCACAACAATAAAAACAGTTCAGTTCCCAGAGCTGTGAGGGTTGGCTGAGGTCTCAACAGGTTTGACTCTGTTACAGGCTGTATGTGCCACACATCATATCCCTCAGAGATCCTAGAGCATCATTTTAAAAAGTCAGCAGATGTGAAAACTGGGATGTGTTCCCACTGCAGACATCCACGCCAACAATCTGGTCCTCCTTTGCAGCAGCCCAGATATCCTGCCTTGATTCCCTGCTCACTAAAATTTCAAAGAAATTCTGCAAGAATGAAAAATTAGTCTTGTAACCAAGCAGTAAAACATGGTCCATGTTCTGCTTTAACCAGCTTCCCTGAGTTTCACCCAGTAACACGATAGGCTCAGCCGGTGCACTATGAGGTAGCGTCTCACCAAGTGTCATGGTATTTTATTAAGTTAGAAATGTGATAGCTACTGTTGTCACACTTCAGTGTACAGAACAATTCATTCACAAATGAGAAAAACAGATCTCTCTGCAAATACCTTTCCCCTGACTTAATGCCCTGCATCATACAACTGAAGTGCAGTGGGCTGCATCAATATTTTCCCAGCATGGCTCACAACAGCCATTGGCAGGGGAGCTTAAAAATGATGGGCTAGAGGGGAGAGAGAGAAAGAGATGCCAGCAGAGATCTGCTATTCAGCCTCTTGGCTCCAGTTATGTACAGAAATACACACCCCAGTTATAGGTTGATAAGAGGACAGGAACAAGATAAAATTGTGTCTTTGAGCATTATCTCAAATGCTGCAGAAAATCTCATGATCATGAACAAGAGCTACCTGTGCCATTTCACCACTGATAACAAATTTGGTTAATTGTTTGAGGATGTTTTTCTTTTTTTGAAAGGGGCTAGTTTAAAGTATCTCATAAACTCCTAATTGTATAAAGAAGGTAAGATAAATTCTGTGGTTTACAGAATAGTGTAGAGGTGAAAACTAACTGTACCTTGGTTAGTTGCAATTCTTCTGACTTTGGAATCCTGTTGTACCAAGCACTTTTTTCTTCTATTGAAAAATCAACCAGAGCAAAGGATAAGAGTTCATCAGCTTGAATGAAGGCTTTCTGTCTTGTTCTAACCTGCAAGGGTCATAGAGAAAGGAGATTGAAGGTGGTGGGAGAAGCTTCCTGTTTTTAACTCTTTTTAATCTTAATGCTAAGACTAGGAAAGAGACCAAAGAAATAACATTTCTCAAATTTTTGAGGCAGGGCCTCCACCATTCAAACAATGAAGAATTTTGGAAGATAAGATCTAGAGTACATGCTTCATGCAGGCTGAGCTCCAAGTATATACTCTGGTTAAACTTCCTGTGCATAGATTTCCTCATTACTGACACACATTCTTCCTTCACTCTGTCTGTGGCTGGGGCTATGAAAGGCTGCCGCCTTCAGTGCTTCTGTCCAGGTTCCCTGTACATCAAAGGAAGCTCAGCCCCCTCAGAACAAACAGTGAAAACACTGGCAGGACAGGCATCTCTGGAAAGTTCTTTGGGACAGATCTCCCTGTGTAATTATGTGGGCATACACCTCCTGTCGAAAGCAGTATTCTCAAAGGGGCACAGGCTGCCAAATCTCTGCCTTATCTTGCATACAAAGTTTAAAAACCACAGTTTTCCTGGCAAAAACCCAAGCATCTCTCTCCCTCCTGTTGCATAGGAGAGAGTTCCACTTACTGTAGTATTCAAGAACTGTTTTGCCCTTAGATAATGGCAGATTTCACATACACGCTCTCTGTCTAGTCATATTTTGTACAAGTGCTATGTGATGCTTGTTCCTAACAATTAACTGGCTAGACTATGCCAGACAATACTAAGATTTTATCTTCTTAATATTACATTTAATGCAGTTTTTCATTATGTTATTTCAGGGTTTTTTTCCAAAGCATTTGCTTACTGCTATATTTTTTTTCCATACGCTTCTCAGGACTGTGACCAGATCCACATAGATGATGTATCATCAGATGATAACGGTCAGGATCTAAGGTACGGTATCTCCTGGAAGTTGCAGGTCAGGTAGTCCCCACCTGTTTGAAAATAGGAGGGGGCTGGTCAGTGTTGTAAAATAACATTCTCAGTCATGCACCCCCTCCCTTTCCTGGCTCTATGCTGTCTGCATTAAGCACACAGAAGCACAGAATCCCCTTTCTCACATTAATATGCATGTGCCTACTGTCAGGCCCTGACTGTACTGAGCTTTGAACCATTCTGGGAAATATACTTAAAATTAGCTTAAACTCCAGTCCGTCTACACTAGTTTCTGATGTGATTTGGCCAGCCACTTAGTGCAGGTATGGCCAAAATGCTTCAAAACCATATCGAAAGATTTCCCACTGCCTAACCTGTAACACATGGGCTCAGCAGTGAGATTTATGGACCTTGCCATGCCAGAGTTCTGTTACTGGTAGAAACTTATATCAAAATTGCTCCAAACATTATTATCTAAGTTAGATTATCATGTACCTAAAAAATACTTCTGAGGAATTACATCACCTTTACTAAAGCATTGGCTGCAGAGTCATGATAATTGGCGCAAGAATTAAATGGGAAGAGCTCATATAGAGCTTTATATTTTATGTTTTTCTGGCTGGTGATTATGAGAAATGGGTGCAGAAACAGCATGGAAAACTATTAAGTGTTTTAGGGAAGAGACTTTTTCTTCTGCAGAGAACACTTGAAAGATCTCTTGCAGTAACTGAACTGCTAGTTTGTGCTCTGCAGTGCACTGAAGTGGCACATATTTATTTAGGTCCTTTGCCTCCAGTGGCCTGTAAGCAGGTGAGGCTAGATACTTGCTCAGACATTGATTAAAACATTACTTTGGGGTTTATCTCAATCAGTGCACTTACCTTGAGTGAATAAAAAAATTCGTATGCTAACAACACATCTTGAATTCTGTGAAAAGCCCTCCCTGAGTGGTTTCTGTTGTTTCAGAAATACTTCTCAGCTGCTCCTGGTTTGTCTGTGTGGGAAATGAAGCTGAGCTGACTTCAGTATCTTAAGCATAATAACTCCTATCTGGATGCTTTAATGCAGAAATACAGTGGCATCAGGGCTCTCTAGATGGGGAAATTACTGTGCAGTAAATCAGGATGTGAATGTACAAGCACTGGCTGCTCCCCCAGTGAGGTGTCAGAAGCACTTTAAGCTGAGCTAACTTCAGGCTGCACCTGAGAAGGATAGGTCTGTCCCCCTCAGCCTTTCTGTCCCTTCCTTTGCTCTGGTTCAAGTTGAGTTTGTCCAGATCCACTGGGTCTGTGACCTGATCTGACTAACTGTCCCCCATGAGCTGCAACTGCCCTCTTCCATCGCAGCTCAGTCTGAGACCTGCTCAGACCATGAAACCGGTCCTGATGCTGTCATCCAGCAAACATTTGAAGATGACATGAGCTCATACTGGCTCTTTCCATGCCCCGACTCCCAAACCAGGGAATCCAGATGAAAAGCAACTTCTTTTTTTTTTTTTTTTTTTAATTCTGTTATCTTTTAACTGGAACAGTTCCCTGATCTGATTCATCTCAGTGCTGAAGAAATCTTTGTACCAGCCTGTGCTGGTACAGAGAAAGGGACATCAAGGAGGTCTGAAGACAGGAGCAAATGCCTGGCAGAAGGCAGGATTGCTTTCTTCAGAGAAACTGTCTGTTTAAGGTGTTTGTGGAACTGACACTTGCCCCAGTTCATTGTGGTAATTACTCTAGAGTTGCTTTGAAGCATTAACTCAGCTTTAAAACAAAAGCAAACAAAAACTTCACACATTGCAGGCAGTTAAGGCTCCTTTAGTTAATTTCTTAATCTGTTTTCTTGGTCTAATTTGTGTTCAGAGCCTGTGTAGCCATATAGCCAAGTAGTAAAAGGGAACACCAGGATTTTCTCCTTTAGGATGTATTTCTGCAGTTCCTTCAGCAGCCTGGGCAAGAGGCAGGTGAGGAAGTTCAGTGACCTGAGGACATGCAGATGTTTTGTAGTCCAGAGAACTGGCAGGGAGTGCTGAGTAACTTGCACTGTGTTTACAGTCAGAACACCTTTTAATCTGTGCTAGTAACCATGCTAGAGATGAACTCCAGTTCTGCACAGTGTGTCCTGAGCATGCTGCTGCTGCCGCTTGTCTTGACATTTCAACTGCTTCCACTCCCTGCTGGCACTGTATAGACTGCAATGTACTGACCTTTCCCCTTCCCTCCTTCCTTTCCTAGCACATATAACTTCTCTGCGGATGGCTTTCACAGTTCTGCTGCCAGCACAAATCTGTGTCTGGGCTCCGGTGTGCATGGGGGAGTTGACTGGATGAGGAAATTAGCATTCCGCTACCGTCGGGTCAAAGAGATGTACAACACCTACAAAAACAATGTAGGGGGTAAGTGTCTCTGGCCAGGCAGCAAGTTTGCCTTTCAACTCCTCAAATACTTCTGACCCTGCTAGGGACATCTCTGGAGGAGGTGTAGCAAGCATCCTGATAAGAGTATTTAACAGAGCTGAGCAACTGTTTCAGCAGTCATCCTTAAAGAAGGTTCTGCATAGGATTTGCAGGAGATGTGCTAAAATACCTGGTTTAGTGGTTCAAGAGGGACTTAAGTTGAAGTGTGGGGCTTTATTTTGTAATTTCTTAGGCAGGAAAGTGACCTCCAATTTTCCAGAAAGCTTAGTAAGCAAGCAAACAGTTCAAAATCAAATATGCCTTTTGTTTTCAGAGAACATGTGGGTGATCTCTGTCTGAAGGCATTCTTGTATCATAACTACTTGTTTTCAACTCCCCCAAAACAATAGCACCAGATATCTTCCTTCCTCTCCAGACAGTTCTCTCAATAGGCTGCTCTGCTTACCTTTTAGGACATCAGTGCCAGGCCTCTGACTAGAAAGAGAAGGACGCAAAACTCAGGTCTCTGTCGCCACAGCCAGGGGCTTGTTTTGGTTGGAGAAGCCTACCCACATGTACTGGAAGTGCTGTGTAGCTTTTCAGGAGAAACAAAACCATCCTGGCTTCAGGTGCCTCTCAGCTCAGGCCACTACCTACTGCACACAGCTCTTGCATCCCTTGCTCACTTCCCATGGAAGTTCTAATGAGGCCCTGCAGCCTGTGGGTGACTGATACCATTCTGCTGGAGAGGAAGGAAGCTGAGCTGCAGTCAGGCTTTGTGTCCCTCAGGGCAGCCTTGGAGTGGTGTGGCAGTGGGCAAAGGGATCAGCCTGCACCAGAGATAAGAGAAGGACAGTGGGAGAGTGAGGGTTCAGAACTCGGACAGAAGCCCCTTGGCATTCTACATACAAAGCTATGCAGCTCCCTTTCTGTGCTTCTGCAAAGATGCTTTCCCTGCTTACAGGTTTAATAGGCGCTCCTAAGAGGGAAACCTGGCTGCAGTTAAGAGCAGAACTGGAAGCGCTGACTGATCTCTGGCTCACACATGCTCTGAAGGCGCTGAATTTGATACATTCCCGGTAAGAACAACTTAAAGAATTGCCTACAGGCTTGATCCAGGATCTCCTTTAGTTCCCTTTATTCCCCCCTCTAAACAAATCAAGACACATTTATAGTGACTTTGCTGGCCAAATCTGTGGAAGCCTTGTCTACGTATGTTTGGCAAACCTGAATAACAAAGGGTTGGGATGAGCTTGAGATGGTGACCTGAGCAAAAGAGGTAGTTCTTTTATTGCCTTTCCTTGGCTGCCTCATCTGTGGCACACTTTTCATATGAGCATTTACAAAAGAGTAGGAAAGGGAGAAAAGGGTCTTTCTATCCCTGAACATGTTCACTCAAAGCACAGACACTACTACATGCGCTACTACATAGTGTTTAAATTCCCACAAAACAGCTCCTGGCATGCATGCAGTAAGGCTGCATCACTGCTACTACTTTGTTTTATGTTTTTTCATTCTACTAAGCTGCTCAGAGACATTACCAGTACTCACATTATCTGCCTCTAGCTGCATAATCTCCCAGCGGCTTGGGAACTTCCAGTGGCAAGACAGATTTTCTTCCAACCATCTTTCAGACTAGAGTAAAAGAGAGAAACACAGACTGGAAGTACTGGAAGTACTAATATTCATCAACGATTTAGGTGAGGGAATTGAGTGTACTATCAGCAAGTTTGCTGATGACACTAAGCTGGGAGGAGTGGCTGACACGCCAGAAGGCTGTGCTGCCATCCAGTGAGACCTGGACAGGCTGGAGAGTTGGGCAGGGAATAACTTGATGAAATATAACAAGGGAAAGTGTAGAGTCCTACATCTGGGCAGGAACAACCCCAGGTTCCAGTATAGGTTGGGGAACGACCTGTTAGAGAGCAGTGTAGGGGAGAGGGACCTGGGGGTCCTAGTGGACAACAGGATGACCATGAGCCAACACTGTGCCCTTGTGGCTAAGAAGGCCAGTGGCATCCTGGGGTGTATTAGAAGGGGGGTGGTTAGTAGGTCGAGAGAGGTCCTCCTTCCCCTCTACTCTGCCCTGGTGAGACCCCATCTGGAATATTGTGTCCAGTTCTGGGCCTCTCAGTTCAAGAAGGACAGGGAGCTGCTGGAGAGAGTCCAGCGCAGGGCAACGAAGATGATTAAGGGAGTGGAGCATCTCCCTTATGAGGAAAGACTGAGGGGGCTGGGTCTCTATAGTTTGGAGAAGAGGAGACTGAGGGGTGACCTTATAAGTGTCTATAAATATATAAAGGGGGAGTGTCACGAGGATGGAGCCAGGCAAACAGTGGCAAACAATGATAGGACAAGGGGTAATGGGTACAAACTGGAACACAAGAGGTTCCACTTGAACTTGAGAAGAAACTTCTTCTTAGTGAGGGTGACAGAACACTGGAACAGGCTGCCCAGGGAGGTTGTGGAGTCTCCTTCCCTGGAGACATTCCTGTGTAACATTATCTAGGTGTTCCTGCTCCAGCAGGGGGATTGGACTAGATGATCTTTTGAGGTCCCTTCCAATCTCTAGCATACTGTGATACTGTGATACTACTTCTACTAACTTTTGTTTTCCAGGCCTAACTGTGTGAATGTGTTGGTCACAACAACTCAGCTTATACCAGCTCTTGCTAAAGTGCTTCTCTATGGACTGGGCACTGTCTTCCCCATTGAAAACATTTACAGTGCAACAAAAACAGGTAAGAGCAAACTAACGTAGGCCTCACCAAAAATATACCGAGGTTTTGTCCTAAGTCAAGTGAGGAACTTCCATCCAACGCTATTGCAACAAACAATGTACGAGGTTTTTTTCTAGCTCCATGTTTATATATGGAGCTAAATATATACTTATAATTCACATCCTGATTGCCCACAGTTCAGCCAGTACAGACTTGGGGGGAAAGAACAAAAAGGAAAAAAAAAATCAAAGTCTTCCAAAGAGTTTCCATGGGGGAATGAGCCTGAAAAATACCCACCACCCTGGGTGGTGTGGGATGTTCAACTGCACCCAGCTAGGAGGAAGGAAGTCTGCTTGGACCTGTTACATACAGGAACACCGTTTGGATCCTCTTACTCTTGCAGAGGGGTCAAGTGTGCTGGGTGAGCTTGAAGCTGTGCGAGTAAGAAATACTGGCAGGGTTGGCTTGGGGCTTTTGTTGCGTTCTGTTCTTTCTGGTATAAGTGTTAGAACCTCTGAGGTTTGCATTTTCAGATTTTGACTGCAACCAGAATGAAGAGAAGAGGGCTCTTGAGTGTCACATCAGTCAAACAACTGCAGGTCTAAGCAATGCATCAAAATCTCACAGCTTACAGAAAATTGGCAGCACCTGAAAGTCCTTGGCTGATAAAGAAAATGCTAGTAACTGCCTTGAGATATAGACAGTCCCTCTCAGATGGAGATTCAGTTAGGTTCTAATTCCAAAAGAAAGCAAGGAAAATAGCAACAAGTTTAGTTAAGTCACAGCTGCAGTTCCAGCACCTGAATGTATGAATACAGCCCTGCTGTATGTGCTTAGATAAAAAATGTCTTCTCTTCTGTTACTTAGGGAAAGAGAGCTGTTTTGAAAGAATAATGCAAAGGTTTGGAAGGAAAGCCGTGTACATTGTAATAGGAGATGGTGTTGAAGAGGAGCAGGGAGCAAAAAAGGTACAGTTTGTGGATGTCATGCTGGATTCTTCCAAGTTTTCATTTCAATGACCCTTTCTTTACTTAAGCATTTAGTGAAGCTCCCTCCGTTTGAAACAGTTTGCAATTGGTCTCAGTTTTTAATATGCAAAATACTCAAAACCTTAGGAGAAATTTCATACAGTAAATCCTCCCCACTTTGGCAGCTGATGCTGTTTCTCACGTAGTTGCTGTGTCACATGTTCATGGAATCATTCTTTACTTAATAAAGATGGCTTTAAACGTATGAGAAGGAAAACTCCAATATGTGATCTCAGATCCGCAAGCAGGCGAATTTCTGATCTACATATGTTGCTTCTGTAAGTTCCGAATCATTGGAATTAGTTTTCAATTACTAATTCTAACATGCATGTGTTTATATTTATGACTCATGGAGATCATAGGGTGTAACATCTTTAGAGTGAACAAAAGAACTAGTACTGCATTGCTGCCTTTATCAGTGATCTGTGGATCAATGTGATTAATTTCACAGGCACAGTGAGATTGGGAAGATGTACTGAATACAAAGTAGAACAGAAACTACAAAAGCAGCATGGTCAGCAGTAACAAGCCCTCAGTAGTATTTCATGCTCACTGCAGAGATGTGGCCTGCTGGCATTCATAGCCTTAGAAAGAATTAAAAGGTCTAACCTGTGCTTCCAGTTGAGTCTTCGAGTCATTAATATCCCGTCATTGGGAAATGAGAACTGGAGTTTTAGATACCAGTTGAAGCTTCTTTGCTTTGTGTAGACTGTAAGAGGAGAAAAGCTGGAACCCCAGAGCCTGGAAAAGATAAAAGCAAAATTTGAGAACACCAAAGCTTGCAGTCTGCTTACAGTAACTGGGGGGTCATAGCCAGAGATAGAGCAAGGAGTACCTTCTGCCATACATGCAGAGTATCAGTGTAGGAGCCTTGGAAACATGGAGAGCAACAATCAAAGGCCTGAAGGAAAACAGTCAGGTACATCAGCTGGGTTGTACAACATTAGAACTGGACAGCCAAAGTTTTTGTTTCCAGCAGAAACCTGCCTGAAATCTCCATTTATTTGGTTTTACAGGGACAGGAATACAATTTGTTAATGGCAAGCATTATTTGCAAGATGTCTTTGTGCATCCTAGGTCTTGCGCTCCTGATGTGCCTGCAGAAATGGGATTGAGCTGCATTTGCTTCAGGAGCATTGCACATGAGTTGAGGTGCAAGAACTGACTGCATGAGTCCTACCTGCAGCAAACTAGTTAATTTTTAATAGGCACAATGGAAGCAACAATACCTGTACCCACCTTGTAAAGCTAGCTAAATCTGCAGCTGGTTCTCTAGTTCATGAAGGGTTAAGGACTTGTCAGAGAAGAGTCCAGAATGCATGAATGAAGTGATAATAGCCTGCTGCTTTTGACAGCCCAGCGCCATACTTCAAAGGCAGTGGGTCAGTGAACATGACTGCATCAAAGGCTTCGAGGGCACTCTGGCTCTATGAAGAAGTGGCAAGGTTCAACAATCCTCTATGCCAGGATTTCAAGAGCCCTCTTGCTTGTGTCTCCTGGCCTAAGCAGCTCTCCCATTAGCAGAGCACATTCTTTGCTGGGCTGTCACCTCCTTTGATTGATGACAATCATTAGTCAAGGCTTCTACACACCTGAGCTTTACACACACACAAAAAGGGGGGGCAGGCAGAGCCTTTCACTGTTTTGCCGACAGCACTGATAATATCTCCATTTTAGTGGGTTGCTTTTCTTCACCTGTCTGATGAGTGATAAATCTGTAAATGCTGAACAACGGGAGGGGCTGAAAGGCCAAGTCTTCTTCTTGGTTAAGAAAGAAAAAGATAATGCAATGGAAGGGGTTTAATAACAACCAGAGCAGCCAGAGGGAGAAGGAAATAACTTTTCCCCATAAAGTGAAATTGCAAAGTAATGGAGTCCAGTCACTTCAGATGTGTTTGCTTGCTGTCTACACACGGATCAATAGCTTGAAGGAAACATTTGTTTACTGATAGGCAGCATAGCAAAGGGAAGCTTGAGTTGTATTTAAACATTAGAGGAGTGTAAATAGACACTAAAATAAACTTCTGGAAGCACTGGAGGTTTTCACACAGGCAAAAGGGGCACCCACGGGAAAGGCACAGCTCCCATCAGCAGAATCACTTGCTAGGAAGTATATATTCTCTAATTCTTTGTCCAGAGTATTTATCCAGAAGCAGCACATCTACAGTGGAATTTTTTACAGCGATGAAATACTCAGAAGTTTTATTGCCATGCTGGAAGGGCAGTAAGCTCTGTCAGTTAAAGCTTTCTGTACATCTGTTACTGCACACACATCACGGACTGTACAGAGATGCGTATTTTGGGAGGAAGGTGAGAAAATCCCAATCTCAAATGCTGTTAGAAGATCTAAGTGCAGAAATGAGCTGTGTCTTTGATCTAAAGTAAAACTGCTTTAACTATTTTGGAGAAGAAACAAATCCAGCTCAAACTCCAGGCTCACCAGAACACTGCAAGAGAAGTCTTATGTAACATCATAAAGCAAGTTCTAATTATTTTCATGTTATCTCTTTGCAAGCTATTACAGGGGTTTAATCCATTGCTAATGACTGCAGAATTGTGTTGTTATCATGCTTTCAAAGAGTTGTTCATACCTTGCCAGATTACACTTCCCACCTCAGGTCCCTGCCTATCACACCTTTCTCTGAGCAATGAATAATTGATCTGAGCAATGATGCCAGTTCCTACATTTACAAGAAAGGGGATATGACCTGCTCTTCCAGTTAACTTGCACAGGGAATTCTTAGGAAGCATTTTGGCTGTGTGGGATTTTATTCTTTTGTTTACATTTTTATAAATTTAATAACTTCCTTTTATGATATTTCTCATTGAGTCTGTGAAACACTGACAACAGCTTTCTCTGGTGATGCTCACCTGAACCTCTAGAACTACTGCAATTCTAGAAACATTCCTAATTAATCCATGTTAAAAAAGCACAGGAGAGTAAAGTTTAGTAGCTAGTACTGTCACAAAGTCCCTGCATCCTCCAGCATCCCTGAAGCAGGGCACTCCTAAATTGTGGAGGGTCTGTCTTCCTCTCTGCATAGAAAGTACGTCACCAAATAGAGACTTCCCCCTGCCTGCCTTCCTGACAAGCCGCTGGCCCAAGTACTAAGCTTGTTCCTGAGTGTGCAAACTAAGAAAGTTGCTTTGATCTCAGTATTAAACAGAAACCAAAAAATGCCCTCTTTTGGTTTCACTCTAGCACAACATGCCATTCTGGAGAATCTCTTGTCACGCGGACCTGGAAGCTCTGCGGCACGCCTTGGAACTTGAATATTTGTAGCAGACCCCCCCCAACATCTTAGAACTGTGAGGGCTTCACTCAAACTATGGCATCGGTTCCACCTATTCCTCGAAACTTTCCTAGTACAAAAATCCCACAGCAACTGCAGTTGTTCTGGTTTTTGAAGGAGAACCCTTTCAGTGGAAGCCTTTGAGAACTTGCAGCCAAAGAACATTGTATCAAGTCCTTCTTCTTTGGACAGAGGAAAAGCCTTCAGATAACTCACTGGGGGAAACCTGCAGTTGAATGGTTAATGGATGCATAGAGCTGTGACTGCCGTTTTACCATCAGCACCAAACGCTGTGAGACTTGGGTCTACTTGTCAGTCTTCTTGCTTTTGAAGGGGGAAGAGGACACAAGAAAGGAGTCTCTGCACAGGACATCCATCAATGGGACCTTCTGAAAAGAGTGAAATGGTTGATTTCTCTTTTTTTTTTTTGTATTTTTTTAATTTATGAACTAATCTCATTACTCTGGTATTCAGCTCTGTACCTGTGGTTTTCATTTGGCTTTTTGGGGTGGGTGGGTGGGGAAAGTCTTACCATTCTAAATTAATAGTTCATTTCTCCAGAGCGTACTCTGGGGAGAATCATATTGTGTACATGAATAATAAGGACACATGGTCCTTGGTAAGAACTATAGCTGTGTTTTTAAATCTTACATAGATGGTATGTGGACTGTGCATGTGTCTACACGGTGCCTTATGCTGCCATCTCGGTTTGGGGAGCTGGGGGTAGGGGAAAAAAAGTACCTTGTGATGAGTGAAAGGCATTAAATAAAAACATGTTTACATTTTGGGGGACTAGCTTACCTGCCTTCCCTTCTCTCCAGCCGCTCCTGGACCTAGAGGTGTATGGAGGATACATCCTCCCTGTTGCAAGGTGAGGGTAGGCTCTGAACAGAGCCCCTCGGGGGCAAACTGGAGTCTGTGGCCAGCAACTCTCATCTGTTGGTGGGGCAAAGACTGAAGAGAGCCGGTGACTGTGCCTGCAGGAGAGAATGGGCCACTTGGTGAATCTGACTTGTCCTGCAAAGGAAGGTAAAGGGCAAACAAATAATGCAGCTGTGCATATTTATTTTTATGTAAATAAATGCATCTACAAGTAAGCTTCAGCTTTAGGATTTCTGCTCAGCTGACCAGTTCCTTCTGCTGTCAGAACATTGCGATTCTGTGGGCCTGGATGAATCTCATTCGCTTTCAAAACTGCTCATCCTTGCTTGATGGGGAAGGATCTGAGTCCCACTGAAGCAAGGTGTTGGAGAGAGATGAGGCAAGTAGTACAATCCCTTCTCTCTCATGTGTGAATCAAGATCAAACAAGGGGGGTTGCACAAGTCACGAGTGTGACACAAGCGTTACACAGCCCAAGTGATGCTCTGAACGTCCAAAGAACATTCACCTCAAGAAACAGATTCATTGCTAGAACTCAGAGGGGATTTTCTGCCAAACTAAAATAGAAAATCAAAATAATCTGATCTCAGTCTTTGGCTCAAGGTAGCAGCCATAAAACTTGTCAGCTGCACTTGCCAGGAGCAGGCATGACCAAAACCATCCTCTCATACCTGCTCTGGCGGCATTGGCAAAGAGCTGCTTGCCAGGCCGAGTACCAACCAAAATGGGGTGTTTCTAGCAGAGGTGCTGCTTGCTGAGAAGCACATGGAGCAGAATTTTTCCTTCAAGGTTTTCCAGCTGTAGGACTGTCACAAATGGGAAGTTTTAACACAAGTCCAGGAAACCAAACTCAATGCAGAACTGACTGATGCTTGCAAGATAAGCACTCAGCTAAATAAAACCTTTGAAAGAGGAACAAATGCCAGGGATGGAGACTCCTAAGAAAGCACAACTTCAGTGGTTAGCACCCTGTCAGTCACCTCATTGCTGCTCCTTGGAATTCCAGTTTTGACACCTGCCTTGAGTCAGTTATCCGAGTACCGATTTATTTTTTCCCTGAAGCTTTTCCTGAATGTGTTGAATGTTTTTTTTCAGTAACCGGTAGTTTTAAAAAGCTGATTTCTTTTACTCTGCAACGCTGTGTTCATGCTCGTTACCAGATTCCCCTTCTGCCAGTGCTTGGGTCTGGTGAAAAGCTCTGCCAGGTCTCACAGCTCAGCGGGTGCGAGCAGCAGCTCCTGCACCTACCTCCTGGGAGCCACCCTGCGCCTGCACAACCGCTCCTCTGGCCAAAGCCTGATGCCGAGTCACACCGTACCCCCGCTCATCCCAGCATCCCCCTCAGGTGAAGGGCTGAAACAAAACACCCCACCCCACCTTAACCTTGCCCTTGGGGTCTCTGCACCCATCTGCTGTCAACTGCCTGGGAAGTCATGGAGTGCAACACAAAGTAAACGTAGCTCTTACCAATCGCAGAAGCCATTGAGATGACACGCTCCAAAAGGGACACGTTTCTTGGGTCTGGTCTTCAAATTTCTATTTGCTGTGTTAAACCAGAACCTGGATCTGAGGCTGTGTCTGGAAAGAGCTTGTACAAAAATCCCCCTTTGCCCTAGCCCAGCTTTGAACAGTTCAGATGCAACAACAGAACACAGCCGGGAAACTGCAGAGAAACAGTTGGCAAAAATACACCCATCACTGAGGGTGGAAGAACATGTCACAGGCTCACTGGTTTGCCCATTTCCTATAGGGAGTCTTCCCTCTGGCTCCCCTGCCTGACCTCCCAGAGGCTGCAGGGCTACTGTAAGCTGCACAAAGCAGGAATACAGCTGTCCCATTCCTGCCCCAAGTGCCTCCTTCCTGCCCCAGCCAGCTGTAGTTCATGAGGTGCACTTCAAAACCCTGCAGTCACAGCCCTCTGACCAAACCACCCCAGATTCTCCACATTTGGCCATTATCCTATGAGGTGCACCACTGACAGCCAAGGTGAGCACAGCAGCGCTAACACTGGGCAACTAGCCGAGTGGTGGTTTGTGTAAAATGCATCTTTTAAAAGGGAAGAGAGCAAAAAATCTCCGTGTTTCTAAAGCTCTTTGAGTTGAGGTGCAGCTCCACAACTGTTTTATGAACTAGACTCCAGATTCCTAGAGAAAGGGTAACTGTTCTGAGGGACTTGAGTCCCATATTTCCACCTCTGTAATGGATCAAGTGCTACATTCCGGGTACAGCTGAACACACACATTAGAACCCATGTCACCCCTCTGCCCTGACAGACCTGCACCGAGGAGGAACTTGGAGTCTGTGGCTCCGGATGGACTGCATTCCTCTTGGCTGCTCCGTGCTCCTCTACGACTTAACCACTTCCATTTCTGTGGTTCAAGCACTGAGCAGCTGATTCAGTGAGCACAAGAGGTGAGAGCACAGCTCACCCTGCATGCAGAGACCAGCCACAGCGCTCCCACCTGAGCGCAGCAGCCGCTCCGCAGCGCGTGTGCCTGCACTGGTCTGACCATCTCTGCCTGGCTCCTCAAACTCCTCCACCAGCGCCAGGCTGCTGTGGTGAACTCCATCCAGAGCAAACCGTTCGATGCTAACGCTAAGCCTCACAGCACCCCAGTGCTGCAGGGTTCCTGCCTGCCCAAGTTACCCTAAAGCTGGGAAAATGCTGCCACCGTTTGGCAAAACTTTGGAGTTGACGGGCCCAGATGAGGAACACCGGCACCCACCTGCCCTCCTTCCTGAAGGCTCGAATGACAATGGAAGATAATAATACAGAGATTTCTGTGCTCAAACTCCAAGTTAATTCTGCCTCCAAAACCAGAGCAATCAGCAGTGATAACCCACATGCCTTTCAGGTGGTTATAATAGAGGATACAAACCCAAAGGACATCCTGTGCCTGCAACTGAAGGGGGGAAACAAGTCTCCCCAGGATGGGATGTGGCCAAAGGGGCTTTTAATTGTGGACAGTGAGCTACCCCTGCCCCGATCAACTCCATACCCCATCACCGCATCCCTCCATGCAGCCAGACAACAAAAGGACGACCATCCACTCACAGCCCAGGACTGAGCCTGGTATCCCAACTGAGGAACCTGCACCATCAGAGGTAAAAATTCCAGCCCCAGCACAGGGTATTTTGCCAAACTTGGTTCCAAAATAAACAAGGGACACACTCCGCAGGGAAGAGGGAGACTCTAGACACAAATGATGGATGCAGCTTATGCATAGTCAAAGTGTTCAATCATATATTAAATAAAGTTGCAGCCAATCTTTTAAATTCACATCACTGTCATCTCCTCCCATGATGTCCAAGCCAGAGATGCATTCTTCCTTCACTTAACACAAAAACAATCCTCAAAACCACAGTTAACTTTGTACCATGACTAGCAAAAATACACAAAAACTACAGTCACCAGAACATAGACTCATACAATAGTTAGGGTTGGAAAGGACCTTAAGATCATCCAGTTCCAACCCCCTGCCATGGGCACGGTCACCTCACACTAAACCATGCCACCCAAGGTTCAAGATGGTACCTTGGATCTTGACCTGGTAACTCTTGTTGGGAATTATAACTATATATTTATATAAATCTTTACTAGGATTTGCTCACCTGTTATTTTACACAAGGAAAGAAAACAACTCTTTATAGAAAAACCAATGCCCATAAAACCAAGCAACCAACCGGTTGGAACAGGCTCCCAAAAGCCATGAGGTTTCCTATAACAATTTGTGACTTGGCCATCTCTTTCCTTTTTCCTCCTGACAGAAGAGCTTGTTTCACTGATACCAGGATTCACTTTACATAGGGAAGGCCAAGACATCATTCCAAGCTTTCAAGATTTGGGCTTTTCTTTGTTGGAACATTAGCTGGTTTACAAGAGCATGTAACAAGGTAACTACAGGAGCAGAAACTGAGGACAACATTCACAGTAGGATTCTAAAGTCAGCAATTTCCTTATGTCCCTGTTTCTTCCAGCAGATGATTCAGACACACACAACAGCTTCACCCAGCTCATGCCCTCTTAGAGGGCTACAACCATACCCACCACCGAAATCCCCATTTCTAACCCACAAATACACCCGACAAGACAACGTGTGTTGGTGCAACTCCAACCAGAGAGTGAACAGATGTGACACAGCAAGCACCGGCCTTTTGCAGCTGTTAAAACTGACAGAACATGGATGTCACTGAGGTTTGTACATCAATGGCTTCTGTTTACTGACTGCCCAATGCAGCTTAGGCTCAAAGGTGCCAACACAAGTGAAGCTATGGAGGATCTGCAGGCTGCAGAACTGAACATTCACTCGGACTGGAACGGAGCTGGAACACAAACCAGTTTTCTAAAGCAGTTTAA